TCCAGCTGCAAAGTTTCCAAAGTTATAGTCATTTGAAATTGGGGAGACCAAATCACACCGTAGTAAGAAAATTGACATTTTGCCATATTTCTTGAAACAGCTTGGTGTGACACTGGAACCATTTATTGCTACACAAATAGCAAAGCAAGTGTTCTCATATCTTTGTCATACAAGTATTTATTTCTCAAGAGCTTAAAGAATGTAAAAAGGCAGGTGCACTGTATCCAAACACATAAGGTCAACCAAGACACAGATTTCTTTGAACTGAGGCGAAATCAGAGGATGAAAAGGCAATTACACAAATCACCAAAGGGATTTCAATTTTCTATCCATATATAAACCTTTCCGTTCCATCGGTCTCGTAATGTCATAAACATAAAATCTCTCATTTTTCAAACTACTCTATGATTGTCATTAAGGAGACACACAACTAAGAAGACCACACTTTTTTAAAGTACAGCTGGAATACAGATATGAGTCATTTCTCAGAGAAAAAAGGAGAAAACAAAGATATTCTGAAGGACTCTTTGAACCTTTCATTCCATTATATTGCTACGCCGGGTCAGATTGGGGTCTTAAACCTGCAAAATGACGTCATCTTTTGTATCAAGTTACTAACTTATCTTTAGGACAACATCATTGAAAATTGCTTTGAGTATTAGCAACAATATAACATACTCGGTTAAAAAAGAATTTTGTGTTTCAATTGTAAAAAGTCTCGACAGGTAAGCCTACAGAGTGTCGAAAAAGCAAAGGATCCACTTAAAGTGTTATAACTCTGTCATCTTTATACTAATTTCAACAAAAATTCGAGCAAATAAAGTTTAGCCATGAGGACGTCAAGTGTGTAAATATAAAGAAAATCAATCAATGCATTCAAGTTTTTAAAATTTCAACAAAAAATTTGGTAAAATGCAAAATTTTACTACTTATATGCTTCCAGTTACAGAGGGAGGTGATCGGCCCATTCTTGTTTCTAAATAGTGACAGTTAAGCCACAATAGTCACCTCAGATAGATCAACATGCCGAGAAAGTTTTGTATAAGTTTGGGGAGATGGTTTCATGTTTTTCAGGCCTCGTTCCAGTGGGATGGGGCCACAACCAATGAGTCAAGTGTGTTCTTGATATGGTTGCAAGAAAGATTTGGGAATGCTTTTTTATCCAAAAATTTACAAATGAAGGGTTACCACATTCTTCGAAACTTGAGCCCCTTTGGGGATTTTTAACAGACAGAGGGTAAGGAAACAACCCACAAACATTCAAACAGTTGAAACTCAATGTTGAACAGGACGTCCATAGAAGCACAGCAGAAACATGCCATGCGAAGCTTGTTGGGAAAGAAATGGTCTATACCCGTAGATTTAAATACACAACACCTTTCTTGAAATGATTATTAACAATATCAATTTTGTATTAATTTGTTCTTCAGTGCACAAATAGTGACTATTCGAAATAGAACGTAGAGTTAATTTTTAAGAAAGTTTGTGCTTCAATCAATTTTGGTTTAAAAAAATTTAATTTGATGGTATTTTTCATATTGATAAAATCTAACGTCCCCATGGTTGAAATTAAGTTCTACAAAGTTTTATTGAAATTGGTTTAAAGATAACGAAGTTTTTTCAGTTTAAGTGGGTCCTCTTTTTTTTTTGACACCCGATACATGAGTGATTTCAAAAATACATTTTTGTTGAAAACATTTCGCAACAAATCACTCTGAAATTTGAAGAACCAAACACTCATGAGTCACTTAATTGGTCAAAACAATAACAAGCATGCAAAATTTCACAGAAATAGAAACATCAGATTAAGCATCAGATTAAGAGACGTCATTATTGTAACTAAACACTCTTGTAGCTCGTAGGAATTTTCTTGGCTCTAACACCAAGACTGGGATAATTTCCCTTCAGTGCTCAGAAAATTGAAAACCCTTAGCCTCTTCAGACATATCTAACCCCTTTTCTAATCATTTTGCGGGTTTAGGACCTAGTTCAATGTGCTCAGGATATATTTGCTCAGTCTAGATCAGAAAAAATGCAAATATCAGTATCTAAACACTGACTCCACCTCTCCAGTGTAAATCCTAAACTGTTGTCTTTTTTTATCAATAAAGTTATTTTTTATTGGCAATAATCATCATGTAAGGCACTGGATGCTACATTAACAATTAGGCATATATGTGAGGCATCGTGGTGAAATCAGACGTTCATCAAAATAATGAAATCGAAGAAACTGGTATTTTTTCTCTCGTTTTGTAATTTTTTCTGAGTTTTTGTTTTTAGACTCAACGCGTTTAAGGTTCTTTTAAAATAAAAAAGAGTGGATTTTACTGAAAAGTGTAGATTTAAGGCACACAAATCATAAATTTGCCGTTTCTAAGGACTCTCAAGCTTTAGAAGTCACCACACCTTTGCGACCATTTTCTTGCTAATTTTACCCCTAAATCAGGCAACCACTACCTCCTTCAATCACAAATATCTCGACTTCAATTCTTGATAGATTGGTACTTTTTTTTCACCAAAACGAAGGAAAATAAACAGGCTTTAAATACCAATAACTAAAAATCCCCAAAATTGACAGAGCTCTGATTCCAACACGTCGTGACACATATAATTAAGGGGGGGAAAAAACCCAAAACAGTACAGCTCCCATTCCTTGACTCAAAGTAATTACCTCACTAGAATAATCAATTGTGGAGTTTCACAAAATGATCCATTAAATTTAAACTTACCAGAAGTATATCAACTGAATATACAGTGAGTCTGTTTAAAGTGAACACGCTTTATTTGAACAATCAGTTTAAGTGAGGACATTCTGTAGTCCCGATTGAAACGCTATTTGCTTAAGTAAAAAAATAGTGGATAAACTGAACCAGTTTCATGTGGGAAATCGGATAATGTGAACGCCTAAAATGAGTGAAAGCGAAAAACAGACCTACTGTGTCACTGTCGCCATTTGCGTAAATAAAATTTTTTGCCTCGAGCATCCGCAGACATTCCTAGCTCGGCGTTGGCGACGGCAATCTCAACCAGAAAGAAAGAGATCTAGTCTAGGCTTGCCCACTGTGTTGTACCCCCACCCCACCTCCACCCTAGACCCAGCACTGCGTGTAGCTACTGTTTCTAGGCCTCCACCCTACCAATATAGTTAAACGGAATGTCAGATAACATTAACACTTTCTTCTCGTCCAAAAGAGTTCACTTTAAGCAGACTCAACTGTAGAGCATTTTCAGAGTCTCCAATATTATAGAGCTGTGTCATCTTCTGACTACCAGAAGTAAGAAGGAAAACTAAACCTTTGAACTAGACCTACTTTCTTTTTTCATACAAAAAGACTATGAAAAAAAATTCACATTGTCAATTGTCAAGCCTGTGGGGTTCATAGCTGTTGGAAACAATTAACACTGAAATCTTACACACAATCAAAACCTTTTTTTCTTTTGTTTGCTATGCAAACTATCACAGATCAGTCCTCAGTGCAGTCTTGTCATACTTGATGCAATGAATTAAATACAGTTGTCTCCGCCTAAGATCCCGGTGCACGGGAGCAAGGAAAAGCGGGATCTTAGGCGAACCGGGATCTCAACCGACGAACCCAGGGAAGAATCTATGGTGACCCGTGTTAAGGCCCACAATCGGTAAAATGGTCTCCCTCCACTCTAAAATGAACTGACGTGACTCCTGGGTGGGTTTATGACACATGGCGAGCAAAGAGTGGTTAACCTCGATGACCTATCACAGTACATAGTGGCATGAGGCGTGCCATTTTCACTTATTATCCTGTCATGAGTCTCAAGATCTACGCTTATCCAGTTGCCCCTCCTCTTTACCTGTCGAAAACATATAGCTTTCCATCTCTGACCGAGTCCCCCTCCCCCCCCCCCCACCCCCACACACACACCACCTTTGTCTTTACACACCATTACGTTGTGACCCTACCAATAAAAATTCAGTCTCTCTCGCAAATTCGGGAGTAGAGACAACTTCTGCAATGGTCGGGGAAGAGTTCACAGTTCAATGTGATCTCGTCAGGAGTGAACGTGTAGGCCCTACCCACCCAGCGAGTGATGTAAGTTTAGGTGGCGAGCTCAGGTGTGAGTGCGATGCGTCGGGAAAACAAACGTGTTGGTCAGTTCACACCCCGGTGTGATCCCGTCTGGGTTAAACATTGTATCGCTTCATCGAGTTTTACAACGTGTATGTGATCATATTCACGATAGTGGATGATCTTTGACGTGACGGACAGTTTGTTGATCTCAGACTTTGCACTCTTGTTTGATCGGCTGTGCCCGCCCGCGTTTTTCCTTCCGCAAATTATGATCTGAAATGCGGGATCTTAGCCGAATGTAGACCTTCAGAGTGAATCAGATCAGGATCTTAGAGGTGACTTTTGTATAGTAAAAATTATGTTTTCTTAAAACAGCGGGATCTTAAGCGAACCGGAATCGTAAGCGGTGGGATCTTAGGCAGAGACTACTGTACCTAGCTCAACTGAAATTGAAATTAATATAAGAAGATCCAAAAAACACATAAATTGTTGTAGGAGCAATCGTATTGAAGCAGGACATGACTCACAAACTTTGTTGGCTCATTTCTGAGTCATCAACATTTAAAGGAAACGATTCTCTGTAAATAACAGTTACTTGAGAATGTTCTTTGTGCTTTGAAAGATTGTAAATTGCTTTTTTGTGTTTGGAAAATGCAGAAAGTTGAATCCATTGAATCCAGAGGGTGGGGGAGTGGGGACTGATAAAGGTGACCTGTATTTCCACTTGGTTGTTTGTAGCGAAGAAAACACTATTGTAAAATCCAGTGATGGAAATTAAAAATCCATAAAATGATTGAATATGCACAGAATCTCAAAAATTCGCAGAACCTTTCTTCACATAGGACCTTCTGACAGTCCACAAAATAAAAAATTGAAGGCGTCTACTATGCACTCTATATCTTTTTCTCTTGCTTACTCTCTTCCTCTACATAACATCTCTCTCTCTCTCTCTCACTCTCTCTCTCTCTCTCTCTCTCTCTCTCTCTCTCTTTCTCTCTCTCTCTCTCTCTCTCTCTCTCTCTCTCTCACATACATTTAGTTCAGCACTCAGCTCACTGTCTCATAGAATTCTTCACAAGTTTGTAGTAGAACCCTTGTTTTGCCATCAGCTCAGGGTGAGTGCCAGTCTCTGTGACCTTCCCATGACTGACCACACAGATTTTATCTGCATTCTGAATGGTGGAAAGTCTGTGAGCTATGACAACACATGTGCGGCCTTGTCTTGCCTGGTCCAGGGCTTCTTGGACAATCTATTAAAAGAAAAAAATTCATTTTGATTTTTCATTGGACATCATGTTGTCATTCGAATAAGGACATCAAGGTCCATCTTACAATATAGTTTCATTTTGTTTTGTTACTTCCGTACCTGTTTATAACTTTAAAAGTTCCAAGTATAAAAGCTAAGGTCTTGATTTTGGTGCTAACTTTTTTTCTTTAATTTCTCCCAAAAAAATAAAAATACAAAGGCATTTGAGGATTGACACTGATAACTCTTTTTCATAGATTTATACAAAATGTGATGCTGAAGGTTATACCAAAGAGTCTGATATCAGAATTAACTTTAGGACTAAGAGGAAGCCATAAAATTTCTACAGAAATCCAGAATAGAAAAGATGTAGAGATTCAAACCCGAACCACTTGTTTGATACCAATATAATATCAGAAAAAGAGCTCAATGATATTATTAGATATATTCTAATTAAATTTCCGTAGGCACAAGCATTTTGGGTGTGGAAAGTTGGCAGAGATACAGACTCGTCACAATAATATCCCCCCCGGCTACACGACAGAGAAAGGCTAGTCTAGAGATAGATGTAAATCTATATGTGAGGCAGCGTGGTGAAATCAGGCGCTGGTCAAAATAATGAAAGTGAAGAAACTGGCATTTTTCCGCGGGTTTGGGAATTTTCATTGAATTTTTTATTTTTCGGCTCAACACCTTTCATGCCCATTAAAGAACACACTTCTGTGTGGATTTAGCAGAAAAACGTTGATTGAAGGCATAAGAGATGTAAATTATAAGTTTTCACGGACTCTCAAGCTAAGGAAATAACTAAACTTTGGCAGCCATTTTCTCACTAATTTTACTTCTGAAACCAGGCGACTTCCACCTCCTTCAATCGCAAATATCTTGATTTGTATTCCAAAATAATTGGACATTTATTTCTTCTAAAGCGAAGCAAATGGACAGGCTTTAAGATGATACCAATAACTCCATATGCCCCAAAATTTATGAGCATTTGATTCCATACCACGTCATGGCACATAATATATTGAATTGCGTGGTTAGTGGGAACACGTTGGCGTATGTGTTGCCTTATATTGCGACACAACTTGTTGTTTGCATTGCTATAACAAACACTCGGATTCAATTAAATCGGTCCCACAACTTCATTATATCTGACTTTCACTGTATACAATAAGAAGAGAAGAATGCACTAAACTAAATAGTTGAAATTTTGCCCCAATAGGGCCCTATTCTTTCCCTCACTGAACAGACATCATACATACAGTTCTTAATGGTAATATCAAGAATGATAATTTGAAGAAAAACTGTCAAATTAAATCAAATTTTACATAAGTGTATTTAAAAAATGACCATTCAATCCTATTCAAATTCACAAATTCCTCTTGGATTTGTTAGACTAAATGGGTTCTGCTACCTTTTCACTCTCTGTATCCAGGGCAGAGGTTGCCTCATCAAGAAGAAGGATCTTGGGGTTTCTCAACAGAGCTCGTGCTATGGCCACTCTTTGCTTCTGACCACCACTGAGCTGGGTGCCTTTTGATCCCACATTAGTGTTGTAACCCTACCAAAAAAAAGAGAATAAAACATACATGCAAATCTGTAACATTTACTCGCTGGTCTTGTAACATTTTTAAAAAAATCATAATTCAAAATTTGTTACCATCATTCCTGTGTGCAGCACCAGATTTAAATAATGCAAAACGGCACTAACGATACTAAAATAATATGCTGCTTAAGTCTCACAGTAGAACACACAATCGACAGATAGGATAACATTTCTCTTGTTTGCAACATGATCCCTGACAGAGGCATCGTACAAAATTATACGATTAATCCAGTTTTTTACACTTGACTGTTGTGTTGTTTAAAAGGAGAAATTCATACTATGCTAATAGCATTAACACTTTTATAATGTTTGGATTAATAAACTACAGTATTACAGAAAACCAACCCACAGAATAAATATGTACAATGATGCTCCATTATTTTATTTCAGAAAGATTAACAAGTCATCCATTAATTAGTCTTACTAAAAATATTAAATTAAACACCAATAAAAAAAACACAAAACAACTGAAACAGAAAATTTTAATGACAGCTGTCTGATTTTTAATCTAAAGAAAAGTGAAGTTGCTATTTTTTTAATGCTCGTAAAGAAAGTAGAGAATGATAAGTATGAGATTCACTACAAAATCTATAATGGATATACAGAAGACTATATCGTCCCTGTAAGTTTCTAAACGCGTAAGTCCGGAATTTTGGAAAATAATATTTTGGTTTTATTTCACTCCAATAGGTTTCCCCCACCTCCTCTATAAATATTAAAGTCATTGAACAAATGAAAATTGCACTTTTTGTCACGGATTCTAAACGTGCGTGACAAGATTTCACCTTGATTTGAAACTAAACGCAGAAGTCCCAACCCGGCACCTTCGTTCAAAACAATAATTTTGTTTCATTTTTGGTTCAAGTAACAGCCTACAGGTGAGTTATGCCATTTCTTCCATCATATTAAGATGGGTATGTAAGATACTCTTCGAAATTATTATGTATTTATTTAGATAAATCTTTGTTTTGTGTGATACATTGTGACATCCGCGTTTAGAGCTTACAAAGTCTGAAAGCTTCATGGTGACGTGCGAGGAGATTGTCAAGACTTACGCGTTTAGTTTTCATTTTTCATGTTAAAGGTTAAGCCCATTGACGCCATTTAGATCTCAATAATAGAGATTAATTATTGAGTATTGGTAGTCACAGGTTTAGATCTCATCAATGTGGATTAATGTTAGGTTTTAATAAGTTATAGATGTATCTCAGCAATGTGGATTGATCAATATTATATTTTAACTTGCTATAAGATAAGAGTTTCCCAAAGTCAAACACCATTGAAAGTGGGGATCATTTTTTGAAACATTCAAAATTACTTTTACTTTAGAAGAAGCATACTTTATTATACAATTAATAACTTATATTATTATTCATATTTCAGTCATGAACCACTTTCACGGAGCTATAAACTGTTACAGCTGTCCAAAAAGGTAGCAGCAAACCCTCCAGGGAAGCCTCCATGACCACAGTCCAAGGGACATACCCAGCACCTCTCTAAGGGAAATGCCCACTCCTCAAAGGGACATGCCCACGAGTCTTCTCTGTATGAACCACTTGACAATTTTTCGGATATATCATTTACTCATTTGTTAGACATGTCAGTGAATAGCAGTGATTTAGTGTCTTTTGATTACAATGAGGCTATTGGGAAGAGTGTTGTCACTGAAACTACTGCTAACCTGCTTGACGATAGATCTAGTCATTTTCAGAATGTTCTTGATTTGAGTATGTCTATACACGATGATGGAGAAACAGATGTGAATGTAAATGATGGTGGAAAAAAGGTTCTTGGTGTGAAAATATGTGATGCTGGAGATAAGGCTCATGATGTGAATGTGCGTGATGGTAGATATGGGTCTTTTTTTTTGTGAATGCTGATTGCAGCAGAGAAAATGTTCTTAATCATAATGCGAATGCATATGACGGTGGAGATGGTAGAATTGAAGCTTTTGAGTTGTTGAATGTCACTTATCCAATAGGTGAAATTGTTGATTCCAACATGTATGATGAAGATTTGGATTTGAATGTCACTGACCAGAGAGGCGAACATGTTGATTCCAATATACGTGTTGATAGAGGTGAGGCTCTTGTTGATCAATCATGTGATTATGGAAACGACAGCGATAATGTGAGAATAATCAATGGAAAGAAGAGAAAGCTTGGAAGGGAAAACTGGGAGAGATTTGTGAACGCAAGAAACGTGAAGAGGGGCAATCTTATGAAGGAAGGCGATACAGGGTTTGAGAACGTTGAAAAGGATGGAAGAACTTTGGGGGAACGATGCTCTTGCAAGGCCAAGTGTAATCAGTGTTCGAATATCGCAGAAGAAGAGAGGTAGGAAATATTTTATTTCTTATTGTCGTTGCCCTGGCCAGAGAAAGGTGTATTTTTGCATGGACATGTATGCGAGGTGCCAGCCAAACAGAGAAAAGCAGCGTCTGCAGCATCCTGTAGGACTACGTCCCTGCAGTATTTTCTGAAAACCAGTTGAGGCAGATTCAGGGTTTGCTGTCAGACGTTTTTGTCCACAATAAGACTCAAGGAATGGTACAGTATGTGAGACACCATCGCGGAGGACCAGGTGACGTCTTATCAACAGGGAATGAGTCTTCTCGTAGACCAGCGTCTGACTCTGATGCATGATTACATCTGCGAGCCTTCCTTGAAAGTCTGCCTAAAACGGAGTCTCACTATTGCCGAAAGAAAAGCTCCAGGCTATATTTAGAGGCAGTTTTCCATGGCAGGGCCGATCTTTTTCATCTCTATGAAACAAAATGTAAAGAAAAGAAGAAGGAGGCTCTTTCTCGTCCAATTCTTGACGATGAATTACAGAAAATGAATCTTTCTCTTTTCAAACCGCGCAAAGATCAGTATGATCTCTGATGAAGGCAATGTCGATGAAGACGTATCTGGCTCATGGGCAGAAGAAAGAAAGGGCATAGCAAGAGATGGCAGGAGATGAGGAAATGGTCCAAAATAACTACACGTCAAAGGTCATTACTGTGGATCTACAGTCAGTTTTGCTTTGCCCCATGCTGAAAGCATCAGCATTATACCGGTACTATAGGACCAGACTCTGTGTCCATAACTTCATAATATTTGATTCAAAGTCACTTGGTGTCCAATGCTATGTCTGGCACGAGGCGGAAGGCAGCTTGTCTGCTCACGAATTTGCTTCATGCATTGTGGATTACCTGGAAAATGATCTGTCTTTTGATAGGTAGGCTACATCATCTATTCCGATGGATGTACTTTTCAGAACAGAAACAACACATTAGCCACTGCTCTTTCCAGGTTCACCGTGAAGCATGACAAGGAAGTAGAGCAGAAAATACTTGAGAGGGGCCACACAATGATGGAAGTGGATAACGTCCACCACGTTATCGAAAGACGAAAATAAGAATAAGAAGATTTTCCTTCAAATCGACTATGTTCGATTAATTGAAGAAGCCCGAAGAAAGCCATTTCCACACTCTGTGGAGTATTTCTCAAATTTTAATGGTGTGAACACCCTTAGTTGCATCCATCCAGGACAGACAGCTGGGGATGCTACAGTTACTGACATCAGGGCTCTGAAATATCTGCCTAATGGAAAAATACTCTATAAACTTGGAATCGGGGGTGAAAGGTCAGAGTTTCCAGAGAAAATAAATCAGTCTACAGCACTGATTGCCACTCCCAAGAAGCTGTTTCATGCCAGCAGGAGCATCTCAAATGCCAAATTCAAACATTTGAAAGTAATATCATCGGAATGTTGGGTATTTTATGACAAGTTGAAACAAGACTGAATCGGGAGTATCCTCAACTATACACTTTATCAAAGCAATCAATTTTTAATACAATTATTATACAAATTTTCTTCTTGTTATCTTCACGGTGCTTGCGCAGCCCATTAGGCTGATACGGTGGAACGCTATCTCTCCCTGTCTAAGGCCAATCTCTTGATCTGTCCCCATGACCATCCCTTGGACTTCATTTCCTGTTCAATGCTCATTCGCCGGGTCTCCGGCGGGTGGCCTCCCTTTTTTGTTCCTTTGGCTATCCTGGGAGTGACATTTGGGTCCATTCTAATGACATGTCCAATCCAGCTCCACCTTTTCCTTCTCACTGCTACGAATACTGGTACGATAATTGTTTTTTTCAGGCAGTTCTTTATTTGATATAGTTCTGGATCATTAACTTGAATAAGTCTTCTTAGTGAATTTTTTTTGAGGGGGGGGGGGTGCGGGGGGATGTGTTATGAAGGGAGGATCGGGGGAAGGGGGTTGTAGGGAGAGGATTAGGAAATTTTTGGGTGCGGGGGAGGTTGAATGATATAAGATGGAATCATTTTCAATTTCTACTCGGTGATATTGAATTGATGTCTTTTTTTATTATGTAAAATGTTCTGTTATATCATGTACCACCGTTACAGTTACAGCATTACTTTTATACAGTTAAAAATTTGCTTGAAAGAATGAACTGGCTCCTTTTCGTAATTTGTTGGGTGATTGGAAGGCTGCTCCCGTAAGCTTTGCTACTTCTCACACAAGCTACACTTTGTCATTCTAAGGGTTTTCTTCTGTTGTCTTTAGTCATAATCCTCTTACTTATAATAGGCCTACAGTCGATTCGTGTTGTAAGTGTGAAAGGACTGGGAAATAAGAATAATATCAACCAGATGTATAGTTAATAAACCAATTAATTCGATCAATCAATATTACTTGCAAAGTTAATTGCACCTAGAATCTATGAAACCAATCTGCCTTATTTCTTCAAAGTCCTTTGCATAGTTTTTCTAATAAATAAACTGAAAGATTCGTGCTGTAAACAAGTAAGTCAATGATTTACAAGCCACGTGTTAAAATAATGAAAGCTCTAAGTGCGTGTGGCTAACCACGGCCACCTACCGCAGACTTACGCGAGTAGAGCTTACAAACTTTCAGTTCCAATTCTTTATGCAAGTCAATGGGTTCGATTTACGCGTTTAAATCTTTCAAATTTAGAGTCTCTAAACATGTAAGCCTGTTTTATGATTAATTTTCAAAAACAAAATAATTTTCATATTGACCATTGTATACATAGAAGTATTCTTTACAAGATGTAGAAAGAGCAGTACATTTGCATTCTGTTTTTACAATTTATTACGTTTTTTGTTTCTCCTGTAAAATTTGCCTCAACGGACTTATACGTTTAGAAACTTAAAGGGACGATACGGAAATAAAAGACCTCTGTCATGCTGTATATGATATAGCAAAAAGCAAAAAGTAGAGAACACTCAACTTATTTGTTTAAACTTTATACCTGTACTTACATAATATACTTAAGTGGAGATATATTCCTCATCCTAGTTAAACAAAGTAAAAGCTCAAAATACACAACTCTTTTTTTTGGCTGCATGGTATTCATGAATACTTACATCGGGCAAATTTGAGATAAAATTATGAATGTTTGCTGCTCGTGCAGCACTGATGATCTCGTCCATCGACACCACTCTGCTGTTATCTCCGTAGGCGATGTTCTCAGCAACAGAGCAGTCAAACAGGACAGGCTCCTGAGACACAAGGCCCATCTGTGCTCGCAGCCACTGGATGTTGAGGGTTTTCACATCATTCTTATCTAAGCACTGCAGAAACGATGAAACATTCATTCAGCTAAAAGTTAGAGGAGACATGGATTCTCCAGCACAATTTTAAGAAAGAGACCAATTCAAGTTCAAATAGACAAATTAAAGGAACATAATGAAAATCCATTCTGACCTAATCTTTCCTTCAAGAGAGCACTCATCTTTTCCACATTCGTCTGATTTACAGGAAAAGCTTTACCTACAATTTACCCTCCCCAAGTAAAAAAAGATAAAGACAAAACTTAACAATCATTTTCTCTACATGGTATCGATCATCACTGCATGAAGCCTTGTAGCAACCTACTACCTTAGGAGCAATATTGAGCCGCGCACAATAACAAAATATGACCTATAAAAGTAGTCGTCAATGCTTCTTTTATCAGACTGTGGAAGGCGTTGACACTTTTCATAAGAGAAGTGTTGAATTTGAATTGAATAAAAGAAGTTTCCAGTTTGACAACAGTCTCAAAACCAGTTTGGTTTTTGTATCTTTCCTTTAAAATGAAAAAAAATTGCTTCTTACTTGATGAAATGCCAGCAGATTCCACGGTACTTTTATTTTTGTAAGGAAACTTCATCTCTAGTGTGTGTTAAGTGCAAATTCGAATGAATGCCAGCAGTGTCTTGTGTCCCTGTTTAAGAGTTCATATTGCTTCACAATATCACCATGTCAAGTCAATTGAGGCCATTTTTTTACACCCTCCCTTAAGTGACACAAAACTTCAAGGCAGACTGAAATTTTAGCTATCATTCACAGTAATTCTGTCTCAACTATAAAACCACTTACCACAGCACCATCTTCTGAGTCATAAAAGCGCTCAATGAGCTGTATGGAGGTGCTCTTGCCACACCCACTGCTACCCACAAGGGCAAGGGTCTCGCCTGGAGATACGGAGAAGCTGAGTCCTTGCAAGACTTCCACTGTGGGGCGGGTTGGATATCGGAACCTCACAGACTGGAACGTCACCTCAGCATTGAAATTATTCTGTGAAAATAAAAAATAAAATTCAAGAACTGACATTGTTGACAGGACAGAATTCAATATGCAGTTGACTTCTCAAGTTAACACCACTTTTCACTATAAGGTGTTCCTATTTGAACAATACATTAATGTTACATTTTTTTCCACTTATTTCATCTTGTATCAATTTCAATAAACTATAAAAGCTGACTTCCTGAGGTTTGTCAACATTATTCAAAACAAGCCCACAATACAAGAAAATACAAGCTAACATGCACTTTACAAACAGAATGGCCTTATTAACAAATACCTGATATCAGGATTTGTAGATATCAAACTGAGCTGAATACCCCTTACCCTGACATATTATGGGCCAAGTTTTGAAAGACATAAGAATATCCCAGCATAATTTCAGTAATGCAAAAAAAAAAATTAGAGTAAACAGAGGCAATCAGAATTTTGCGTGTTAAAAAGAAAATAACTAATAATGCTCACTTATCCTAGCTTCTTCACCCAAGAATCAATAAAAAGATCAACATTTCATTCATAAAAAATTAGACTTTCTCACAGGAAGTTTATTGCCGTCAGGGGAAGAATAGTCAATGGATGGTTGGCTGTCAATTAAATGAAGAATTCGTTTTGCTGCGGTCTGGGCTTTTCCCACATCAGGAGCAAAGGCAGATGCATTTCCAAGGCCCATAGCTCCAAAGACAATAGCTCCAAACACCCTGGAAAAAAACAATGCTTCTGAGTTAAGGCAATAGTCCACATGCTTGAGAGGTGAAGATAGACTTGTTTAAAAATTATCATGCTTTCTTTCATTATCAGGGAACCAAGGATGTTCTAAAATATCAAGTACTCAACTAAACTATATAATAAACAAGCAAGGTATCTCATCTTAAACCATACTCAGCCATGTAGAAACATTCTTTTTGGGTATTGTTCCCCAAAAGTCTAGTTAAAACTTTTTTATATCAGTATTGACAGTTAAACTTGCTCTTCAGTAAAAAATATTTCCATGAACATTTTGCTGAATAAAGCGCAAGAAAACAGTGCTTCACACTTACAAAAACACTTCTGAATACTCCATCTCATTCTCCTCAATAAGGTAGGCTCCAAACACAAACGCAGCAGCATAAGCAAAGTAGATGATGGATTGTGAGAAGGCATAAGTGAGGCCAACCAGATGGGCCCTCTTCAGAGCTGCTTTGTACGGAGTCTCAAGCTGGTCCATGTACAGGCTGAAGAATGTTGGCTCCTTTGACAAAGACGCTACAGTGCGAATGTTCTCGATACTCTCTGTTGCTACCTGAAGATGGTCAACAACTTATGTAAAACAGTGGCCTGCATTGACCAACCTACATCTAATGATAAAAATTTACCACAGAATAATCTCCCTTAAAATCACTCAAACCCTCAATGGGAAGACTAAAAATATAGTAAGACTTCGGTACTTATAAATGAGCACAATAAATCTGAAGCAAGGTTCAAAAGTTAAACCATTCGAGCCCTGCCTAGAGGACCTGTGCTTCTAAGCTCCTTTGAATTGACTGCCAGATTTACACCACTTAAGATTTACACCACTTCACCAAAATGTACTTATAAAGACGAGAACACACAGTAGAATTCAACCATTGTCCCTTGACAATGCTCAGACTTGTATATAGACATATTCTACAGACACCTGTTACTAAGAGGGGTTAAACACATAATAAAAAGCATATTCTCGAAGAACAGATATTTTTCTTTGAGGTGTGCATAGCATCTATAAACATTATCTCAATGGACATAGTAACTCACTTTTTTAAAGGATTATAGCATTTATCCAAAAAGACATTTTCAAAATAACATAAACAATCCTTTAAAAGATTCCAGGAGAAGTATATTTCAATGTGACAAAAATTCCATAGCTCCAATAGAAATAGTCAGTCTAACTTAGTCTTTGTCCTGTCATTAGAGTAAAAATGTTGAGGATTATTCTGACACACACACAGCATGGATGACTTTTCTCTTCAGACAATTTTTCATTAAATTTGCAAATACAGGAAAGTCATTTAAGCCAATGCATTGCAGAAGAGCACAGTGAAGACTAAGGGGGGTGGGGGGGAGGGGGGCACAGATGTCTAGTTTTCACATTTTTGGGGGTTTCACCACTTGGATTTTGTTGTGGGCCTTGACTATGGTAAAAGTATAGTGGGGTAAATCTGCAGGGGTCAAGAGATATAGTCAATTGAATTTTCTAAACCAAGTCTCCAAAGACAAAATTTCAATTTTCCGTTCCATAAAAAATGGACACCTGTGGTTCTTCCCTCTCACTTTTCTTATGTAAAGCATGTAGACACCACAGATAAAGTACAGTTTATTGAGCTTCCTCACCTTTCCAGCGCCTTCTAGGGCTTCTCTGTTTTTCCCAGCTTGTCCAGCTAACAGTTTAATCTGCATTATTCCACCCAACACAATAAAAGGCATGAAGCCAAGAATGACAAGGGTGAGTTTCCAGCCATAAAAGAAAGAAATAACGATGGCTGTTCCCATATTCGCAAGACTCATCAGAACACTTCCAAGCCTCACACCAGTCACCTAGAGACACAACATTGAGAGATAAATATGGCATTACTTAGTGATGATCAAGCATAAGATTTAGACGACATGAAAGAAATGGTTAATTGGTTAAATTGGGTGGAACTGAAAATTTGAGGAAGCTGTTTCTAGGCCTGCATCATTCCACTGGATAGAATAGAAAAATCAAAATACAGAAATCCACTTTCATTTATCCCCATGAAATCTGGTTAACAAAGGCATATTTACATACATAGATACATAAGTATTATGGTAAGGGTTTTATGGCACTTGAAACCACATAGGGGCATATGAGTGAAAGATGTGCAACACATAAATACAATCATTTATATAATACACAGTATCACACCAATTTTTTTTAGTTGAGTGTTTATGGCACTCGCAACTAACTGCATAAGGTCATATGAGCGCACGGGGCGCACTTAACATTTTCAGTTGGTAGGAAATTTTGAATTTTGCCCGGGTGGTGCCCAAAGCTTACTCTTATCGATTTTTGACCACCACTTGCACATGGGACCTCCGAGATTTTTTGCCCTTATCCGAGAAGGCTGGGTTAGATCTTACTTACCATAAGATCAGGGGTGTGGCTGAAAGACAGCAGTAAGAAGGAGCCAAGCAGTAGCAGTAGAAAGGCTTCAGAAAGAGAAAAGTTAGGAGCCCAGAGGAGAGGGCAAAGGAGGTGAGGAGGTGGGGGCAGAATGTGGAGACGAAAGCGAACAACAGAACATTTTTAGAGAGCGGGAAAGGAGGTGAAGGGAGAACATTTTAGAGAAAAAATTTTCCGTCCCTGTCCTGATTCGAATCCGGGACCCATTGAATGAGAGGCAAACACCCTAACCTCTCTATCACGAGAGCCCTCTACCACACCAATACAAACAAATAACACGCCATGGCTTGTCATCCCTGTGGCTACCAGTTCTATCTGGACTATAGTTTTACTGACATTTTAAACAAATAGAATCCTCTATGTGCCTGTAAACTGATTTTCTTTTCTTCCATCATGACATAAATGAATGGAACTTCCAAGACAAACACGGTTGAAAAAAGGAAAAAATCAAGGTTGACTAGTTCAAAAACCTAATAAATCCACTACCATCATCAAGAGCCACATCTGCAATAGACATCAACAATCATGGTTCTCAATTCATTCCTTTGCTTGGATGCTCTAAAAAAAAGCTATATTATCCTAATTCTTCCTTATCACGCATCTGTTTAGGCTCTCCGAAAAGGTTGTTCTGAGTGCACCCCTGCTTCCCTTGCCTCCAGTTTTGCCACTGAGAGCTAGATGTTTAAGGCCTTTATGTCTATTCAAGTGTCCCAGACACAGCATTTGTCTTTTCCCAGATTGTTTTTATCAGTGAGCGGCCCACCTAGGCTTCTCCAAGGACTAACTCATTTGATTTTTTTTCCTTCCCAGAAATTCTCAGTTGTTCTCAAAGAAACTACATTTCCGTTGCTTTTATTTGTGTCACGACATGGTGGAATCAGGCACTCATCAATTTTGGGGCATAAGGAGTTTTTAGTATCATCTTAAAGCTGGTTCACTAATCTTGCAGGTGGCAAAAATAATACACATCTAAAATTTGTGATTAAAGGAGGTGGGGGTCGCCTGGTGTTGGAGGTAAAATTGGCAAGAAAATGACTGCCAAAGTTTGGTGATTTATAAACTTGAGTGTCCTTGGAAACTGTAAATTTACATTTTATGTGCCTTTGGTCAAGGTTTTTCAGGAAAATCCACACAGAAACAGATTGTTGTGATTGATTGGGTAGATGTTTTACGGCACTATCGACACAATTTTAGTCATTTAAGCGCCAGATTGTTAAATAGATATATATATAAAAGTTGTTGAGCTAAAAATTGAAAAAAAAATAAAAATTAAATGCTCATTTCTCGGATTTCATTATTTTAATGAGCGCCTGATTTCACCACGATGCCTCACATTTTATTTTCACCATCATTAATGATTGCCCAGCAATGAATAGATCAATGAATAGAAGTGTTAACCAATAGCATTTTATAACTTTAATTTAGGTAGTCACTGAAATGTTTTTATTTTTAAAGATTGGGCTGATTTCATTAATGAAACTGTCTTTAGCCATTGCAATTCTTTGTTTTATTTCTGTGGAACATTTGGCATCAGATGGAAATCCATTGTACAAAGATGTGTCATTTCTTTATTATGTCTAGCACATTATGCAAATAATCATACAACAGCCGCTTACCCCTTGGACAAGAGATGCATCTGTAGCTAGCCGGGTGGTCAGAGCACCAACACTGTTCTTGTGGTCATCATACCAAGCAATATCCTGCACATAGAAGTTGTTCAATTGCAATACAGACCATAATGATATTTTAAAAATGCTTGTATCTACAATTCACAATAGTAAAAAGAAAACTCATAAAAGCAAACATAAGAATACATGTAGACGCAAAGGTTAATACGGACAGAAATAAAAATACTCCAACTAATAAAGACGAACGAACGTTAAATTTAGGAGAAGCAAATTTTTTTAAAGAAAAACAACAGTTAGGACAATTAAGTTTAGTCTTGATTTTTACTTTCTTTCAAACAGACAGACAAAATGTTTTCATCTGTTCATTTATAGGAGTACACCAACCTGTTTTAACATAGACTGGAATGTGTGGTTCCTAAGTCTGGTGGTCAGTTTTTCTCCAGATTTTCCAAAGAAATAACCCTGTGTTGCAAACAAAAACGAACTTTCAAAAGCTGAAAATGATTTTTTTTGGGGGGGAGGGGGGATAATCTTTGTGCAGCTATAATAGAAAATACAAACATAGATAAGATAACAATAATTAGGTGGCACAAAAAAGAAAGGCAAGCTGACAGAAAAAAAAGGATAGAAATGAAAGATGACCAGCAAGTAGCCATTCCAAAGGCATACTTTTTATCTTAATACTTGGCGAATAATAACATTCGGTCCTGTGAAGATGATGTCCATAATTGAAATTTTCCAGTTGTACAGAAAAACATTAGTATTTTTTACTACTCGTCAAATTTCTTCTGCCTCTCCAAATATGTTGTTAATGCATGTTGATGTAAAGAAGGGAAAGAATTTATCTTCTTACTACCTTTCTTCTAATATGGCAGGTAATAATAAGTTTCAACAAACCTGTATGAACATTGTAACCAGGCTGACCACACCAATTCCAACAAAGATCAGAGCATATATTTTAATCAACCTCTCTTGTTCACTTGGGGTATCTGAGAACACCTGAGGAGTAGAAATATAATACATTCTGAGCAAACTTTCCCATAGATTAGTTTGCTGTAGCTCTCTGTTATATCTAGAGGAAAAGAACTTTTCCCTGTGCCACTATTTTAGGGGAGAAGATAAGAACTGGTTCATGAAGGAAGAGTTAGTTTAGTTTTAGTAGAGATTTTACAGCGCTCGCAACTGCATAAGGTCATATGAGCGCCAAGGGGTGGATGTTAACAGAGAAGTCCTTACAGGGAATTAGGCTTATTCTGCTCACCTTTCTAGCTTCAACAGCACAAAGTCTGCTTTGACTATCACGGCACCCCGGAAATAGCAGGTCACAAAAGTGTGACAAACATAAAAAGAAGTAGAGGAAAAAGGCCGATAGTAAGGATTATAGGAAAGAAAAAGCAGCAGTTCCCTGTTGCAGTTCAGGCACAGTTATGAGCTTGACATTGATGAATCAGCCCATTTACAATTTTACTGTGCATAAGAACATGTTAATGTCGCCCCTTTGGGAAAGGCCTAAAGACACTTCAGTCAGTAGCACCCCCCCCCCCCCCCCCCCCCCCCCGAAGGAAGAGCAAAAAGAAAAAGGGGAAGCCCCATCTTGACCTTCTGCAGTCACACAGCCAGCAGTACAAAATACCCCATCTGGTCACTCTGCCAGGAGAGTGCCTGCAATGCATTTCTTGGGCCCAACACCAGGTGACCAGAATGAATAATTTTCACCATCACATTAATGCGGCAAGTGACCGCAAAATGTTAAGTAACCGTCAGACCACCAGATGACACAATTTATATTCCAAGCATATTTATGCAAGTATCTTTCCTTGGTATCATAAGAATCAACACCATTATAAAATATCAGATTACCATCAGCAAAAGACTGCTAGAGAAAGTCAATTCCTTTACTTAGTAAGGAAGCAATACAGATAAAGTTGGAGAAACTGACACAGATGTAAAGACAAGAAAAGGCAAGGAAAGAGGCATTTTACAAAACTAAGAATTGTATAGTTATCAGGAATTATAGGAACAAGAACAAAGACAAAGATTTTCAACATCGAGGTAAAAAGTGTACAACTCAATGGATCAGAACCATGGAATTTTACTAAACAAAATTCTTAAAAGCAACAGGCAATTGTCATCAGATGGTTAAGAGAAACCCGGAAATTTTATCAGCCTGACACTACAAGAAATGAACAACTATGATAGAGAAAACAAATCAATTTTTGAAGTATTACTTAGAAAAGGAAAATGGAATTCGATTTAACACACCTAGACAAAACTGAAAACAAACTTTACCATTAAGCATCACAATGGAATTCACAAGAAAATAGTAAGATAGAAAGGCCTAAAAATGTATGGAGCAGAGACTTATATTTGGATTTAAAGGAGATGGGATAAAGCTGGACAGAGGTGTAGACTATAGTCCAAGACAACAGTCCATGGAGAGCTCTTGTTGGTATTTTATACTCTGACATGGGGTGAAGAAGGCTGCTGCTGCTGCTGCTGCTGCTGCTGCTGCTGCTGATGATGATGATGATGATGATGATGATGATGATGATGATGATGATGATGATGATGATGATGATGATGGCATGATGCCAGTGTGAAATCGAAGGGACTCTCAAAGTGTTTCATATCTTTTCACATTACTCTAATATCTACTCTCTGCGCAGATCTCAACCCTTTCCATCTTTTTGAAAAAGAGCCAAAGGAGTCTATATTCCAAATGCAACTCAGTCATCAGTGTGGTTAAGGGTTTTCTAAGAACATTTGAGAAAATCAAGATTCATGTCTTCATGAGTAGGAGTGAAAAGCATACAATCACTAGAGGTAAGACTAGGTCATGTTAAAATGTCAACATACAGACCTGATGTGCGCAGTAGAGGAAGTATCTCTCTTGGCAGGCTAATCATGATTATGATGATTATATATATATTTTGATAACGTCATCAGAGATTTATTGCTATCAAATAAACCTGAACTAAAATAGATGGGATATGGGATGAAGCAATCAAAGGTCTGTTTTCCTATGGAATTTACCTATAGAGTATCAAGGCCCATAACAGAAAAAAGCAGAATAAACGGTTCTTTCATTATTTATTTTTAAAAAGTAAAAACTTACAGAGCGAGAAGAAAAAACAATCTAAGGTTAAGGTTTCATTTTTCTTCAAACCTTACCTTTAGGATTTCACTGAAAATCACAGCAAAAGCAGGCTGGACCCCACCATTGATAATGCTTCCAAAGCAAGCCAATAGAATGAAGTGCCATTCTGGTGCATTCATCTTGAGCAACCGAGAGAAAGGGGCATTAGGCAATTTCTCATCCTCTTCCTGAAATATGACAGTACAAAGAACAAAATATTACAATATTAATTAGATTAGGCTAAAATCTGAACTAAAATGAGAACATACAATTAGGGACTTCCAAAACGTATAGAATTCTTCTAAGATTACACAGCAACAAGAGCATAACAAAAATACTTGAAAGGGGAGGGAACAAGACGTAGAGTAAAAAGAGACAGCAGAGGCAGAAAGAAGATAAGAATTGCAATCTAACATCAAAGAGGTAAAAATAAGAAAGACAACAATGAAAAAATTTGACAACTGACTACAAAAGCATTTATGGACAAATATATTGCTACTGACTTGTACTTTTGGCTAAGATATCATTGTATCTATGCTAGAAAAATTTTTTGAGGGGTTGTTAGGACTGAAAATGAGGGTTCATCACCGAGGGGGAAGATTTATGAACTTAAACTTCAATCCAAAAAAGGTTATCTTTAAGACAGATCTCTTAGTCCCCCTACAAGAGATAAGAGAAGGTTGAGAGAAAGTTAAAGGTTGCGGGATTCTTGAGTGTTAATTTCAAAGTAAAGTGCTTACTTTTTCCGCTTTTTTGGTGTCAGATTCTGACATTTCTCGCTTTGGAGTGGAAACAGTCCGCTGTATTTTATGTCTGTCTGTCATTTTCTCTACAACTTCTTCCAACTCATCATCTGAAAGAGAAACCCAAAAAAATCACAACTCAATAATTTATCCAGGAGGACAATGGATGCAAGGAATGATATTGAACTTTTTCTACATAACAGTAAAACAGGATGTCAGTTTCTTGCACTTCTGATCTGTTCAGGCATGGTAAGACTGTTGTCTGTCATATACATCAAATAATATTCATACATCCCCCTGTATTTGTCACACATATCTTAGTGCCCAAGATAAAAAAAAAAAAATCGTCATTAATTTGTTCTTGAATGGGTTCATTGCCCCTCTCAACAATTAAAAGTTTTTCAAAATCTTTTAAAATTTGTTCTTGTCATTGCCCCTCTCAACATTGAAAAGTTTTTCAAAATCGTTGTTAATTTGTTCTTGAATGAGTTCATTGCCCCTCTCAACAATGAATAGTTTTTCAAAAAGTGGGACCTCCAAATTTAACATCTCTCTCCAATAGCACCAAACCAACTGGGTGGAGAGGCTTAAACATTCCTCAAAAATCCAAAATTAAGAATGCCAAACCTGGAAATTCAAACCACGACTATCCACACCATAGACCAGCATGATATTGTTTAAGCTAACAGCATGCTTACAAAAAGTTTGCAACATCTTCCAAATGATTCTAAGATTTTTTAAAAACAAAACAAGAGGCCCAAGAGATTTTCCAGGAAGAAAAATTTAAGTTTGGACTAAATCACACATTCAAGTAACCAATGAGCATTCTGGAAAGGACAAAAGACAGGTATGAAAAGAAGAGTTCACTGTAAATAGAGCTCTGTTCATTGACTATTACACATTAAAAAATCTATAAACGTGTACTTTTCCACTTTTTGAAGTTTAGAATAAACAGGTAAAAAACAAATATTCATTCCACATCCATTTCTTGTTTGTAAAGGCATACAAGCAAGCCATACAACTAAACAACGTGCGCTAAGAAGAAATTAAATATCACCAAATAGAAAAACACATGCAAATATCATTTATATTTTTTTACCAAACAGAAATAAGGAGTGGTTGTGACCCTCCTCTCACTTCTATCGTCTACAAGATATGATGTTTTAAAAGATATAATATCTTTCCTGTTGACTAGGTGTTTTTTTTACAGCTGCAGAAAAAGTCAGTATATATCCAACCCCTGATCTTTTCTCCTTCAGTATTTCTAATAAATGCAAAAGGTACCTGAGAATCTGCAGTGCATCAAAAACTTACAAGTGAAGAGAAATAAGCTAAAGTGTTGCCTTGTAGTAGCATGTGTTGTGTGATACAATGTGATGCCACATTGTGTGAGGTGACGAGATGTTGTCCCATATAAAACAACCCCATGTAGAAGTACTATGATGTCATGTAAACAGATGATATGGGAGGTAAAAATTATAATTATAAGTATTTAAAGTCCCATGGACTTAATTTAGATCATTTAGAAGATAAGTTGCTTCCACCCTGCCTGTCAGGGCAAACGCAGAATGAAAGGAGTACATGGTCCCAGCAGACAGAAGGAGACATAATTTGTTGAAAAACCTCCCCAGACGGGACTCAAACTGACATCTTCTTTATGCAATGACAAAGCACCTAACCATGACCACCAGACACTACCAACAGATGTATGATGAGTATTCTAAGAATTAAGTGGCAGGATAGAATAAGAAATAAAGAGCTGTGGGAAAGGACAGGACAAAAGGATATAGACGTAGAAATAGGACTAAGAAAGTGGCGATGGATGGGACACACCTTAAGGGGGTGTAGCTATGTTCAACACCCAAATGCTACAGTTTTTGGTCTAACGCTTGCTTTTCTGCATCAAAGGGTGTGACATAGTACAAAAAAAGGTTATCAAGCAAAAAATTCAAGATTTTAGCCTTAGTAATCTCGAGCCATCAAAAATAAAGGATTGGTTCAGCATTTTAAAAACCAATTTTATATTTTGTCAATCATCAACACTCATCAAGATAGAAGCCTAATATTTGGCATGGCGATTACTGTTGGTAGGTAGAACAACCTTACAGAGCCAAATTTGAATGTTCTGTACTGACTTGTGAGCCTTACAGTCCTTGCTATGCTCTACATTCAGGTCTCCAATGTTTTAAGATTTTGTAAAATAAAACAGGCCTAAAACTCCAAATGTGTTCCATAAACAGCAAAAATGCTCCTGTAAAGTTATAGAGAAATGTGTATAAAAGATTGTGTCCAAATGTGAAACACTTCTGACAGTAACTTTCTGAGATCTACTCAATATAGTTTTGCAACCTGGTCAGATAAACAATTCTGAGAAAACTGCAAAGAGAGATAATTTTTGGTGAAGATTTTCCTACATTGCTACCTCTCTTAAATGCGTTTTCCAGCTATTTATAAGTTTGATAAAGGAATTAGGCTTCTAAAGATGGATCCTTGATATTGATATCTATTAAGATACTCCAAAATCCGAAAACTGATATTTTTTCAAAATATTTACTGATCTGACCCGTGGATCCCCTTAAGAAAGCCCAGCGGAAACATCACAAGACAGTCACTGCAGTGGAACCCACAAGGAGCACAAGGCAGGGGTAGGCCACGGGAAACATGGAGGAGATGCGTGGAAAGGGACATGAGAGAAATGAAGCTCACTTGGAACGAGCTTGGAAGGATGGCTCAGGACAGAGATAAATGGAAGGAGCTTGTATGTGGCCTATACCCTGCTAGGGGTGAAAGGCATTGATTTATTGATTGATTGATGCTGCAGATTTCTGTATATCAATTGATTACGACGGCATGCATTTTTAGGGTTTGCTGGGCAGTTTAAACAAGAAAGCAACTTTTAAAAACATTTAATAGAGATTTCCACTAGCAAAAAATATTCTTCTGTTTAAAGATGTTTCTGAAATAGCACCACTGAGATGATCATAATAAAAAGGAGTAAATGATGAGACAAATAAGAGAGCCAGCAAAACGATAAGGAGCTGCCTGCTGGAGGTTCAAATTCTCTTGTGAATTCACTATGGTGGGCAGTAAAATGTAACAGGAAGAAGAACTGTGTCCAGAATAGTACCTTCGTTTGTTTAAAAGAAGAGAACCACATCCACAAAATAAGAGTCATAGTAGAGGGAAAAAGTTAGAGCCAGAAAGGGGATGGACAGAGAGGGAGGGAAGTGTTAGATAAGGGGCAAAATAAAGAGGATACTGCAATTACTATACAATGAAAGCTGGAAACAAAGGATGCAACACGCAGTAATCATATCTAATAACAATATATATACAAATAAAACCCTAACAATATTTGTAAACCAATCCATAGCAGTGTGTTCATTTGAAAAATAAGGGACATTTAATAAAAAGAAAAATGAAAGATGGTGTCAGGTGACATAAATAGGCCTCTAAACAAATTAACATGAGGAATAGAGCCTCGAAAAAAAATCAAACTGGAATAAATTGAAGCAAGTTTGGGACGCAACTAACCCTGTCCATTTATCTCAATGACCCTACAAGAAGTATATGAAATGATCATAAGAAGGCTGTGCGTCGGAGTGAGATCAAACGAAAAATAAACACATAGCATGCTTTTTTAAAGTACAAATACGTTAGTTACAACATACTACTGACGGATGAAAAATTAAAACCACAAGGACAAAACAAAACACATAAACTGTCTATATGATCACCCCCGGCATTAAGAACAGATTAAATATTATAAAATTCTAGAAAAATTTGGGAATATACTGTTGCAATAAATTTATGTATGTAAAACTTGAGATGTTTGAAATCCTAAAGGTAACTATTTTTCAACTAACAGTGTTATGTTTCTTTTACACTCTATAGGTTTACATTATATAGTGAGGCCAAGAAGTGCAAAAAAACATATCTCTTGCCACACTTTTTTTTCCACACAAGTTTAACTGATCTTTTAGAGGCAGCTACCATATCTGAATCCTTCAAAATGAAACATAACAAAAACTAAAACAGAAGCAAAGAAACCAAACATAAATGTTTAACAACCCTTATATCACACAAATCACAAGACAAGGGGAAAACCAGGGAACCAGAGGAAGTTAAATACAGTGCAATAAATACATAGTCACCTTGGATAGCTATGGGATTGGAGATTTTACAAAGAGAGAATAAAATTAGTTACACACAATTAGCAAACTAATCTCCAGGTCTGCAAAGCATTGTGTGCAGAGTCAGTAAAGGTTGTCCTCAGAACAATGCAGCAAAACTTTGGTAAAATAAAGTTTAAAATTATGCTTCCGGCTACAAAGAATGTTCCTCCTGGATCAAAGAATTAGAATCGAGTTTCATTCAAATGAGCAGGCTACCAAGGCTGCAACAAACTGCAATAACAACAGACATATTTTTGTGACTTAAGAAAAGAACCTGACAAATCAAGAAATTTCCTCTTGCCAATCAAAAGGTAAACTTTCCCATCCCTTTCCCTTCCAATCTGCACTGTATCATACAGGTTTCATTATAGACCCAATTTTAACTATTCTAGTAAAAGCAACAAATCAGACAACCTTTAACTTTTTCCTACACACAAAATTCAAGTATTAATACATGTGTATATATTTTGTATAACGGTGTCTCAAAGGGATAAGTATGGACTTATTGATTTAACTTTTTGTCTAATGATATTACTTTCTTAAAGGGGGAACAAAAATACTTTTTAAAGGGTGCTCCAAAGAAAATACCTCTCCCTCCTAGGCCCTACATCTAATTCTTCATTATGAAACCTCGATTTGCAGGTTCCATTTATTGTGAACATAACATTATTCATTAACTACACAATAACTGAAAAATGCATTTTTCATATATCCATAAAATTTTTAAGCCCTCTTCATTTCTACTCTTTATTCCTCATGACCCTCCCCTCAAGAGTAAAACCTAAAAAGAACTATAATTTCGCTTGGGTTTATCACAGTTTCAATTATTAGTTCCGAGTGCTTTTACCAGGTCTTTGTGGATGGCTGCTTCGGCTCAAAAAGTAGACACCAAAAGTTTATTAAGAGGACTTTTCCGTGATCTATATCTCAATTTAAAGCTATGCAAAGAGAGTGTGAAAAGAGTCTAATGTCGTCCTGATAGGGAAATCTAAGTTGCTTGTTTGTGTGATATATGACAGTACATAAATCATGGCATTGATGAACTCTCACAATTCAAAATTGTTGGCAAATGAGATTCAGTACAAGTGGTTTTAGGAACTATGAAAAATAATCAGAGTTCTCTTTTAACAAAATTTACAAATTAGGAACATAGAGCTAAGTTTGATACAAAAAAACAACAACCTTTTTTATAAAAAGAGTCTTACAGAAGGGACACAAATCATAGAATTACAGCTAAACAAAATTTAGCTTTGAAAATTAAGAGTAAATCAATTTTCATATTATTAAGGAATACAATTTTTAAAATGTAAAAATATTGAAACAAAATTTCTTACCCTCTTCGCTTTTTGCTTTAGACTGTGAAATAGAAAAACAAAACAAAAAACAACCAAATGAAATTTGTCTTGCTCCACATCTTTCAGTACAAATTCTCATTTGCTTGTCTGCACAGACAACAAAAACATATTGTTAAACAGTATCCCCAAAAAAAGTAATATTGCTGATAAAAATGAAGTCCTTGCCAACTGCAACATCCTACTACTTGCTTAATGACAAGTATATACCCAAGTATGAGCAGAAAATAAAACTATAAAGTATTGATGCTTTCATTCTTGTGTATGCTGTATGTTTGTGTGTGGGTGAAATATAAACTATGCCATATTCAAAGATAATGTGAAAACCCTTTTTATGGACACAGTTGTCGAGTACCAGGGTACCATCTTGATATTCTAGACTTTGAAACTACCTCATGAATAGTTTTTTCTCAAAACAATATTGATATATACTATCTATTTGCTGCTAAAAGGCCAAAGAGGTGAGTAAGTTTAAAAAAAAAAGAAAAAGAAAAAAAGCAGTCAACACAAGCAGTAGTTAAAACAAAAATATTTGTTTTCGTATTCAAGTCTAATTAGATTAAAGTTTTTACAAAAGGAGTAACCATAAAGAAAACACGATAATAGTCAACTTATGATAGTACAGCTGACCCTGCTCTAACAGCCACTTGTCTAAGGCTTCCGGGCAATAGAAACTCACGCCTCATGTCTTATGCTCATTTCTAACGCCTAAACGCGTGAGTGGAAAAATTAACTGAAATACACTTACTTGCCATGGGCCGTAGGCCTCCGCTCATGCCTCACACTTCAAAGGTCACGGCTCAGGCATGAGCCTAGAAGTGAACATGTTCACTTTTTTTAATGGCATGAGTCGGGGGCAGACTGGATATCAGAGCGTTTCACCTCCCGGTTGAGCTGGACGCGGACCAGATTCCATGGTCAACAGTGTGCAATTTTTATTTTCTCGTCAGGATGGATGATTACAAAGAAGGATTAATCAAGTTAGTCAGAGCAAGGTCTCCGCTCTGAGATTCACGTGATCCTGACTACAAAGATAAAGATCAAAGGACACAAGTTTGGGAAAACCTTTCCAGGATGCTGACTGCATCCTCCACTTTGAATGGTCTGGCTCCAGACATTCTAGCATGAGGGACTTCAGAGTACTCTAAGTCTTGTACAACATCCTCGTATAATTGTAAAGGGTTCTTCATCAGGACTGTACACAAGATGCTGGAATGTCCAGGGAAATTCTCCTCTGGATTCTCTGAGCAAAAAAAGCTCTCGGCACAATATGCTCCGTCTCTTTCGCTTCCTTCTTCTGAGGAACAACAAAATCAGCAAATCTTCTTCCTCAGATGATTCCATCTTGAATGCACCACACAGACTGTTGTGTGAGGCATAAAGCATGATCCCTTATGACCCAGTGGGCTGTGAGGCATCAGGCGTGAGATGTGAGGCGTGAGTTTCTATGGCGCGGAAGCCTAAGGCAATCACCTGTACAAACAACCATTTTCCATTCCTCCCTTTCACTTTTCCTACATTGTAATAATACAGTCCAAGATATCCACCTGTCTAAGACAACCACTCTTCTTCTTTACAATGAGTGTCCGTAATAGACCATGCCAACTATATCTCAGTAACTCACCTGATTTGTCACAAGCTGATAATAAATTCCTTGTTTGGCCATCAAATCATTGTGAGTTCCTTTTTCCACAACAACTCCGTTGTCAATGCCACAGATGATATCTGCTGTTTTGATGGTTGACAGCCGATGAGCAATAACAAGAGTTGTTCTCCCTTCACGCGCCTGAAAAAACAAAATGACAGAAACAATTATGCCTACTTAATCATCTTTAAGACTTACTTTATGATACGTTCGAGTCTCATTATGAATCAGTTCACATGTTTATGGCCTTGACCTCATCAGATTGCCAATAGTAATTTAAAGTAAAATTTCCTTGAGCTACGATCAAACCATCCTTCATAAATACAAAGCAAATTAAATTTAAACAACATATACATTTCCACTGCATTACATTAAGTATGTTTTTGCTTTATCAGGTGCATGATTCATGTATTACAATTGACAAGGTCTATAGAGGCTAAAAAGTCTCCAACTCATAGTTTAAACCAAAATGAGACACCCACCTTGTCTAATGCATCCTGCACAATGGATTCACTCTCAGTGTCAAGTGCTGAAGTAGCCTCATCCAACAGAAGGATCTTGGGGTTCCTCACGAGGGCTCTTGCAATAGCAACTCTCTGCTTTTGTCCACCACTGAGTTGAGCACCCCTCTCTCCAACCAAAGTGTCAAATTTCTGAACAGATTATTGAACAGTAAGTTTGATAAATACTTGCTTTACTGACACTTGTACCATCCAGGAAGCCTTGACAACAAGGCAAGTTTATATACCATACTCACAGCAAAAAAAATACAAGTAACAAATAATGTGACAAGGGATAGAATAAAGAATCTGGAAAAGATATTTAAAGAGATCACCGTGGTAGATCACACTCAAATTTGGCTGAAAGCACCCTGTGTCGCACTGTTTTGACCATATTCGCAGTTATTGTTACTGAAAACTGTCTTTTATAAAGAAAGAAATCTATACATTTTGCAAATGGCTGTATGTCTTGTGATATAATATCTTATGGAGTACTGTGAGAACATAGAAAGATATTGCAGATTCTGATATAACCCTGTGTTCGCATCAAAAACTTGTATCTCTCAAAATTATTGCTTGAGATGTTGCTTCAATGAATTTAGACACCATATCTAAAGCTACAGATCTAAGCATTAATAAAGGAAAAAGAAGTTTATCAAAGTTTACATACTTGAGGCAGGTTCATGATGAAATCATAAGCGTTAGCATTCTTGGCAGCCTGGATGATTTCTTCCATTGTGACGTCTTCTCGTCCATACCGAATGTTTTCTGCTATGGTTGTTGCAAACAGCACAGGTTCTTGACTCACAAGTCCAATGTTGCGACGCAACCACTTGATGTTTAGGTCTTTAATGTCCTTGCCATCCAAGAAAATCTGGGGACAGTGGAAAAAGTGAGGTTAGAAGTTTCACTTGAGTGGAGATCAAACATGAATAATCTGAACACCAGCACTGCTCCTGACAAGCTCTAGAATATTAAATACTGCCCTGCCCCCATATTTCAGTGCCAGCTTGCAGATTTCCTCCTAAGACTGTCGAGATATCTCAATGTCAGTCTCGAAAAATGCTCACCATTTGTTGTTCTTTCCCTCAACGCTCCATCAACATCCCTGAGTGGACACACACAGCCCTTGTTTGTTTAAGTGGGATATGCACACAATTAAATATAATAATTGGTTTCACAACTTAAATGCTACAAATATCAAAGAACTCTTTCTATCAGCAGAGGGATATATTAATGTATGAATTTTTTTCTTCAAGTACAATAACAGCACACCCATAAATTTCTTCTGTCTTTGCACATTCTGTAGCATTATGGCAGATGCAAAGACCCACTAAGATGTTTCCTGTCAATCATTCAGTCTTTATCAACAGAAGCTTCAAAGTAGGCTTTGATAAGCTTTTTCAAAATTCACTCACTTGTCCCTGCAGAGGGTCGTAAAAGCGCAGCAGCAGTTGGACAGTTGTGCTTTTGCCACATCCACTGGCTCCCACGAGAGCCACTGTTTGTCCAGGCAAGGCCTCTAGGCTCAAATTATTCATCACCTGCACAAAAGTAGCAATGACATGTTTTATTACTGAATGTTTTCAATACCAAGTTTGCAACAAATATACCAGCACACTAGGGTTTGGTACTTACACCCAGTACCCAGTGCCGGTTGGATTCATTTGATCAAGTCGGGGCCAATAAGATTTTCCTTTATGGATGGGGTAAAAGCTACCATTGTACAATATGACTGAATTCAACTAAGACTTTCAAAATCAAATATCTTTGTTTTTCAAGGTTGCGAGTCGAGTCAGTCATAGTGTGCCAAAATGGTAGGTTTTGCCACTCCATTGAAGAAAATCTAGTAGGCCCCAACTAAGTCAAATAAATCCAACTGACAAAATGCAGAGTGGGTACAATTTTCCTATAAACAATTTCACATAAAAAATGAAAAATTTATTTCATCATTTCAAGAAAAAGTTTGAGGAAGGTGACAAAAATGTTAGCAGTTAGTAATTCAGTGGATCCACAGGATGACTTGCCACCATGTGAGATGAATATTATTTTCACACCAGTCCCCTTACAAGTAAATTATTTTAAAGATATCCAAGAAGGCATATTGCCAATCTTTGAAAGGGAAAATCTGACAATGACTTTGATGATGTGAAAGAACCAGCTAAAACTAAACATGAAAGTGTCCTAAAAAACATCATCCTTTAGAACATAAAGACAATTTGGTCAAAGCCAGAAGGATATTTTTAAAATAGAAATCAAAGAGTATAAATGAAAGTTTATACTTCTCATATCAAAGCCATTAGTAGAAATAATTCTCTTACTGTAACTTCTGGGCGGGACGGATACGCAAAACCAATGTTGCGAAACTGGATAGTTCCCTTGACAGAAGAAGGCCGTTCCCCTTCATCTGAACTGCTGTCAATGGCAGATTTCTGTTGGATTACGCGACTTTCTTTAATCAGTAATTAATGATAATCTAGCATTATAGTATGCACGCATCAGTTTGGACTAATAATAAAATCTTAAATTTGCAGCGTCATGAGAGCAAACACCTGTCATGGATTTAATCAATTCAGAATCAGGAGAAAGTTTCATATATTGAGTATCTTGTGTGAAGAATTGAACAATAAATAAATATAATAAAACCCTACATCTCAGTATAACAGCTGAGTGACGTGTTGACAGTAGCTACATATAAATTTCCATAGCTATAAAACTACGTTCATCTGAATAAGAATTGTAGAACTCCAAGTAATAATAAAGCTTCAGTGACTACATTTTAAAATATAAAAAAATCTAGACCTACGTAGGACTAACAATATTGTCTAACCTCAGATCAAACAGCATCACACCAACAGTTATAGCACAGAACGTTTGGGGAAACATACCAAGTCAATGAGGTTGAACACTGTGAAAGCTGCACCCCTAGCTGTGGCGAGTGACTGAATATTTGGAGCTGCATTTCCCAGGGAGAAAGCACCAATCAGAACGCTGAAGAAGACCTGAGGTATATGGTAGAAATGTACAAACTATGTCACAGATTTAACCTTCAGAGAAAAAAAAACGAGAGAACATCCAGCTCATTAGATTGAAATGAGAATTATAAGGCTGTAAGTTTGTGTAAAAAGGCATTTACGAAATACAGAATTCATGATTTCTTCATTCTTAACACTTCAATATTTATCCAAGCAAAAAGGCAAGTCATTCTCATAAATGATGTCAGTTATGCCTTCATAATAAAACATGGTGTCAACTAAGAAGACCCACAATGGTTGCTACAGGAAGCAATTAAAGATTACTGAAAATGAGGCTATGGTCTTATGAAAAAATAAAAATACTAAATAAAAATTGTTTTTTGTGATGTCAAGAATTTGAAAAGAATACTTACAATAATCATGTTGCTGACATCGTAGTCGCTATCCTCTCTAACGAGTTTTCCTCCATACCAAAATCCCAAAGCATAACAACACATGATGACAAGCCAGATGAAACCCATAGATGCTCCATTAGTGAATCCTTTTTTCACACCAAAGGCCTCTGCGTCACTGAGGTTACCAGAGTAACTGAAAAAAATGCAGTGGACAGAGCGATTCAACACTGCCTAAGCTTCATTGGGATCTAGCACCTTACACATTTTCAGCTCTTTGAAACAACATTCAGATCCCTTTTCTTTTTAAGAGCAACAATTAGCAGTTTGTTGAGTTAATGACTCATTTACATGAAATAATGAAGACTAAAGTTGTTCAATCAGTTCCCATTGTTTGTTTTTTAATCTTTCTGGCCACATTTGACACAATTTAGATCATTCTGGAGGTGGGCACTCGATCTTTTCTCCTCAGGTCAACCCTGGCTGAGTGGGGCACAGTGTCACAGTAAAAAGACAGGCGCTACTTTATAAAACTAACTTCTCCACATAGGAATCGAACCCCTGTCTTCTGCATGCAAAAACAAAGAGACTAAACTTTATGCCAAAGACAGGTTTCTGCAGTCTAAGCCTTTTACTGCTTGAGTTCCAATCAAAGACTTTCGACAACTTCATTTGTATTATATATCACTTGGACTTGAACACAATGCCCTCAAACCAAGCATGAGTTTTGTTTTAAATAAAATGCTGAAGCAAAAATTATGCATGATACTTTCTATTATAACTGAAAGTCACTTACATCTTCAATATTCAGCTTGTATTATTACTGGAGACTTTTCTTGTTCCAAATTTTTTGTTAAAATTCACGGTATACTAACCGCTTCGCCTCTTTCTCTTGTCCTCCAAACGCCACTACTGTCCTGATTGCTCCAAACACTTCCTCAGCAACAGCACCTGCTTTGGCATAGGCCTCCAGCTCTTTAGCCGTCATTGAAGCCGCAAGCTTTAACAGAAAAGGAGCAAAATGAACAAAACACCACTTACGGAACATACAGGGAAAGTTGCACATTAGTTTGTAAAAAGGTAATTATGTACTATGGTACTTCATTCACAATGCTGTGACAGCTTTTGTACATTACAAATGGACTATTTTTTACAATTTTTATATTTTCTTTAGATGCATTCTTTTTTTCTTATTTATAAGTGCAAATAGCACAGGCTATAAGCTAATAATACGTGGACTATTTTGCTATAGTTATGCAAAGGGAGCTATTTAACTTTTTAAAATTATGTGTAGATATCCAAATATTTTTTCTGTTGAGCCCTTGCTTTCTTGCTTTACCAAGGAATGTGTACCATGCAACAGCAGCAACAGGGTGTTATACGGGATCACCTTACTCAGGCAAAATTTGAGCATGTCAGCAACAGCTTTAACAGATAGGACAGTTAACACTTATGTTCATAATGTGAACCACGTTTCATCGTTGACTGTGCTATGAAAGTATGAATGTCTACTTATTTGTTAGCATTAATCTAACCAGCATAAGTAGCCTATGCATATTAATTGATATGTGTACTTTGTGTTGAGATGAACTTGAAGGTATTGTATATAATTTTTTTTCGTTATTATTAATTATTATAATTACTATTATTATCATTATCATTATTATTAGTAGTAGTAGTATTTTTATCATTATCATTATCTATTATCATAACTGTTACAGACAGGTCCTTAAAAAAACCACTGTTCAGAATGCTCCTAAGTATAAGTTTGAACCTGAGCATTAAGTCTCTGAGTTGTTATAAACTTCTGCACTTTATCAAAGCTGAAATCTCTGAGATATGAGCTTTCTTAATTTGCTGCATTACATACTTATTGATTAAGTAATTACCTTACTAAATAATCCTGCAGCCCCCACTAAAAATGGACTGACTGCTAAAATGACTAGTGTGAGCTTCCACCCATACACAAAGCCAATGACAAATCCAGAGATAAAAGAAGAAAACCATTGAAGAAAAGATCCGACTTTGTCACCAACTCCATCTTGGATCTTGGTCACATCACTGTCAATTAAAAAGAAAACAGCTAATTTACAAAAACAGGCCTATTTAATACTTTGTCACATATTATCTCATAAAAGCTCTGGGTGAGAACAATAATTTCAAAACTCTTTGTGACATTTTAATCATACCAAAGGAAGAGTTTGATTCATAAATTATTGTGCTAACAGATTTTTAAAAAGTAACAGGCAAAAAGCCTCCGAGTGATTACTTCCCAAATGTGACAGGTAAGCTACTAAAATCATAGATCAGAAAAAAGGCTTTAAAAATGTTAATATCATGTGTATCATTCAGTTCTTAAAAATAAAAGACAGGCGAGGGAGGGTGAGAGGGTGCAGTTTAGAGGAAGCTGTTATCCCACCCATGTGAGCTTTGAGCAGTGCAGATGATCAAGGTGGTGTGGGTGTGAAATCTCATCACGGCTTGTTTTTTTGTTTTGGTATGTGTTTTTACGGCGCTCGCAACTGCATAAGGTCATATGAGCGCGCGGGGCACACCTAATATTTTCAGTTGGTAGGAAATTTTAAATTTTACCCGGGAGGCTGCCGAAGCCTACTCTTATTGATTTTAGACCACCAAGGGATCTTTAACGTGCGCAACTTGCACACGGGCCCTCCGAGATTTTTCACCCTTGTCCGAGAAGGCTAGGTGTAGATCTTTCCTACCACAAGATCAGGGGTGTGGCAGAAAGACAGCAGTTAGGAGGAGCCAAGGAGTAGCAGTAGAAAGGCTGCAAAAAGAGTCAGGAGCCCAGAGGAGGGGGCAAAGGAGGTGAGGGGGTGGGGGCAGAAAGTGGAAATAAAGGAGACAACAGAACATTGCTAGAGAGCAGGAAAGGAGGTTAAAGGAGACAATTTTAGAGGAGAAAATTTTTCGGTGGCTACCCGGATTCGAACCCGGGACCTATGAATGAGAGGCCAACACCTTAACCTCTAGACCACGAGAGCCCCTATCACTGCTTGTCTTCAAAGTGCTCAAGTGGCTAGCTGGCACAGAAACTTTCCTGAGTAGCAAGAGGTGTGAAATTTGACCTCTGCCGGCTGCCGCCCTGATTGTATGATCAGCAGAAAAAAAAGTTCCCTCAATCACTGTTAAATGCAGGGAAGCATCAATTAATTGATTGTACTTATTACATCGATGGGTGGAGCTAAGGGTGGAAACAAAGGATATGTTCAGTCAGTTCTATTTTTGAGAGGTGGCAACGGACTAGTAAGACTGGTGCATGCCTTTATCAGAGCGGCCAAGACAGCACTCATGAGGTGTGAAGTTTTGACCATTGCTTTCTGACCGGGCAGACAACTCTTAATCCCAACCTTTGAACCTTTGAATTTCCCTGTCCATAACAGAAAATACCTAAGATGGAATTATTTTCCCCAGCCTCATTGCGATTCAGTCTTGGACAGGTTCTGCTGAGCTTAAAAAATATGAATGGACAATACAGTAATATTTGTTTGGCTTTCTGGGGAGTAGAAGCTACAATGAGTACAGAAACAGTATTTTGAGATGAACTGCACGATGTACTCACTCAGCCAGTCTTGTGTTCAGCTCAGCAGCTTCGTGTGTGTCATACCACCCAATGTCTTGTCTCAGGACATTTTTCAGAAACTCCTGACGAATTCTGTGGGCCTGTCGTTCAGCAGCCGTCATCCACATTGCCACTTGAAGGTATGCTGTCAACATCACACCACCGGCAATTACTGTGGAAAAAGACAAAACGAAATGCAATCCAAAAAACATACATTTTATGAACACATTTTTAGACAAACCAAACACACTAAAAACATTTATTGATATAACATATTTTAACCTCACCTTTAAGCTGCTTTTCTGTGTATAAGATTAAATAGGTCTACTTTTCCAATGGCATCATGTACTAATCCTTCAAACGCACATTCAGTTCATAATTTATCTTCATAGTTGTTCTGTTCTTTCCATTTTTATTCCCCCTTGTGAAGAACTGTTTCCCAATATTTAAGGATGTATCTCTCTCCCCCCCC